AGGCAACTGTTCCTGGGGTTAGCCCAGCCCAGGGACATTGCTAGGGCTGTTCCCAGGCCTCCCTAAATTTCTGGGGAGCCCATCCCTAAATCCCACATGGGTCCACCTCCATAGATAGTAACCATGCCTGTGATATCACTAGCTCCTCCCTGTGATGTCATTGGGTCCCAGTTCTTTTAATGACTTAGCAATGCCTCTGGCCCAGCCCCAGCCCCCCCTGGGAAATTGGAAAGTCTACGCCCTTGGGTAGCCACAGCCCTCCGTTTGCAAGACTTGAGCAAGGCTGTTAACGACAGGATGTTTTGGAGGACCTTAATTCCTAGGGTCACCATAAATCAGAAGTAACTTGATGGTACTTAACATACTTGCATGCACAGTCCTAAGGAGAGTTACATCCTTCCCATTGACTTCGATGGACCCAGAAAGGTATAATTCTGCAGGAACTCAAGCCTGCCAGAAAGCTACACACTTTGCACTTGAAAATCTGCCTACCCCAACCTTATCCATCCCAGCTTAATCCCTGGCTATGCAGTGGTGAAGGAAAAGCATACTTTCCGTGCTCAACAGCACTGTCTTTTCACCAATGGAAGGGGAAAAGTTTCCTCCATCAGTACATGGTACAAAACATATGGCTTCCTTTTTGGTAGGCATTTGTTCAAAATATTTATAGCCTGCTCTCTGTGTTAAGAACACACCAAAGGGCTCAAAACAAAGTAACCAAGAATAGCACTTACTAATAAAAATAGAAAAAGAGACTGGTGGGGGGCAGATTAAACAATTTGAGCAGCAGTATATATATTTTTTACGCCTCTGTATCATAAAGCCAGGCAGAAAAAGTTTAATATCAAACCAGCTCAAGAAGTAAATGTCACCAAAAAAACTCTGTTATGGTACCTGATTACTATTGCTAGAATGACTTATGCACAATATTGGAAGCAAGATAAGCTACCAGAAATATGGGAATGGATTAAAAAAGTATGGTTTATGGCCGAAATGGATAAACTTACAAGGAAGTTAAATAATCAAGAAGATGAAGACTTTTTTGAAGAATGGAAAGATTTTAAAGAATATTTGGAAATGAACTGGGATGTCACAAATAATTTACTATGTTTTGATGAGTATTAAAATAGAATATCAGAGAATGATTTAAGGGAAAATTGAAATTTAAGGTTACCTGGATATGTGAGATAGATACGGATAAGTAAGAATTAAATGTTTAATGATATTGAGTATTATAAAGTTATGAGTGAAATTAAGAAGATAAGAAGTAGATAACGGGATAGGAGCATTGTGGGAAGCCAAGCAAGGGGGTGGGGAGAAAGATATTATAAAAACGGGATATGTGAAGAATAAGAATATGTGTTGTAATGAAAATGATGAAAATGTTATCATATCCTATTAATAAACTGTTTTAAAAAATATCAAACCAGCTCAAACAATCTCACAATAAAAACCCGGAGCAAAAGCAATAAGGGCCCGTACCAACAATTAGTCACTGAGGTAGGAAAAACGATACAGGGCAAGCTGATCACAGTCACATTCACTTCTTCTAATAACTGAGAGTACCAAGGGATGGTGTGCTCTGTGGGGCTCACAGCCTCTCTCCAAATGCCCGCTTGCTCCTTTCCGCTAGGCAGCACCAGAGATATCTCCTCATTAGTGGATTCCAAGTCAATGGGAGTGCATTACCTTTCCTCTTGCCATTGACCAGGTTTCTCAAACACACCCCTCGATATGCCTCCCCTTTGCTTAACCCTGGAGAAACCTATATGGCCCCAACCACATGCATCAGGGCACTTGCAGTGCCGTATCCTTCTGGATCACGCTTATGTATCTTGCTGAGATAGGTGTACTGCAGACACACCGAGGCACTGCAATAACATAACAGCTGACATGAGCAAGAGCTTCATTCAGCAACTAATAGTTCCTTGTTGATCAAACAGGAAGGCTCAGAGATCTATATATCAACTCACAGTAAACACGTATCCGTACAGGGTCACTCTTTTTGATGATTCCTTTAGTCTCCGCCCTACAATCGTAGACTCCACTGTTAGCTATGTAGGCCGTAAAGGCATAAGAAGTAGAGGCCATCAAGAATGTATTATCCTTCATGAGTGAGACATTTAACAGCAATGAGCTATTAAGTAGACATGACATTTCTATCGTGCCACCTTCATCCAGGTCTTTTTTAGAAGTATGTAGTATTGGTTTGGAAAACAGCTCTGCAAAAGAGAGAAAACAGAAAGGTAATACATTTATAGCCTTTCCACATCTCTAATGTATAATACAACAGATGTGCAGTTATTGTTCAATGATATCAGGGCATCTAGTCATCCTTTATGGATATGGCATTTCTGATGCGGGTATATAATGTTTCCCCTTTTTAAATGTTTTTAAAAATTATTAAAGTAGAAAACAACTATGGTACAAAAATACACAGTGAATAGCATTTGCACAATGGAAAATGCCACACGTGAATCAATATCTAAATTATAATGCATTTTCATAAAATTGTCCTTGTTTGTTCAAGAGATCAGTAAGCTCCACTGTTTCAATTAGACCCCAACATTTAACTCTCCTAAGACAAAAGGTATACACGATTGATCCCCCAATACTTGGCTATTAAAATTCTAGCAGTCATCATCAGATTCCAGATCAGTTTAAGTCAGAACGCAGGTCAGTTATCGAAGAGTTCAGATTTAAGTTTCTGCTCTGTTGTTATGTCAATTGCAATACACTGCCGTCCCAATTCTATATTAACATTCAATTGTTATACGCTGTCATTTTAATGAAAACAATGACTGCTTATGATGACTCAGTAGCATGTCACTATGGTAATTCCTAGTCATCATGGGTCATATGGACAAGACAATTTGTGCCTATCATAGTTTTCTATCTGAGATATAGACTGAAGGAGAATGAGCACTAGACTCAGCTGAGGAAGCAAGAGGCTTGCTAGGATCAGATATGCTCATTCACCCCAGGACCACAAATTGTATACATTTTGAGCTGATCCCACACTAGAGATTAGTGGCCGTAGTGCTTCAGTCAGAACTCTGCTCTGAACGCCCCAAAAAATCAGATGATAGATTTAGCTCAGTGACTAGATATGCTCAGATCTTACCTAGAGAGGTGTCTGCCTTCTGAGCTAACACAACTGAGACAGAGAACTCTTACCTGCCACTACAACATTCACTGTGACAGTTTTGGACACTCTCCCAAGTTCCACTTTGCAAGTATAATTGCCACTGTTCTCCATTGTAGCTACTGCAGAGTATGTCACAGACTCTCCACCCCTCGAATTGTTAAGGATGTTTTTGTCCTTCTGGAGGATCATTTCAATTTCATGCCTACGACTTAGGATAGTAGTACATTTTATCAAAATATTGTCTCCTTCTACAACATTCGGTGGATAGACGGTTATATTGGGAACAGAAAATGGCTCTGCAAAAGAGTAAGTCAAGACAGAAGAAATAATAAAGTTAAAAGCTCTACATATACTTTGTTTCCGTAGTCTGAAATTTCTACAGCTGCTTTTGACAGGAAACTACAACACATCAGGAGGCTCGGGGGTAGAGATATGGGGGGGGGGAGCTGTGATGTCCTGTGTGCACTACATCACTTCTGGAGAAAACCTGAATGTGACGTAGGGTGACTCTAGGAATAGCCAGAAACTCTATGGTAAAACCATAAAGTTTCCAGCGATTCCTAGAGTTACCTATGTCACTTCTGGGTTTTCCCCTGAAGCGATGTAGTGGGGCAGATGACACCAGAGCTTAATTTTTTTCCCTTCCACTGCCACTTTGTAGGCTGGAGGTCTGGCAGCTGTAGTCACACTCTCTCAGCCTAACCACCCTCAGAAGGTGGTTCTGAAGGTAAAATGAAGGAGACTGATGTATGCTGATAAAAATGTAGTGTGTAAGTAATTTGCTTGATTGTGTGGTGTAGTTCATGTAGGCTAAGCTGGGCTCTTAGACAGAAGAAATTATATATGACCAGCATCAAAGGGAAGGAATTGTGCACATCAGATATTTGAGGGCTACAGTTGTCATTACTAACCAGTCTAGGGGGAAAAAGATGACAGGGGATTTATGATTGCAATTTATAAACACATAACCATCATGGATGACTATATAGTAAAAGGTCAAAAGGTATTTGGGGTCAACAGAGCTAATGGGTACAAGAACAAATAACGATGAAATGAATTTAAAATATAGAAATTAAAATATAAAGCAAAATTTAAAAACAGGCTGACTTACCAGCAACACCAATGACTTCTCTGTTACTGGGTTCTGATGTCTCAGACACCACTGCTAAAGATATCTTCACAACACATTCAAAAAACAAAAGGGTGTCTCCCTCATTGACTGGAAATTCCACCTCTGCAAAGTTTTCCGTTTTTTCAAGCTTAGTCTTACTCACTGAGGAATTACTTGGAGAATGTCGGATTTTATAAAATGTGAAATAAAAAGGAGGATTTTCTCCTGTTACTTCACAACGTAACAATACATTTTCTCCTTCCGTCACTTGTGTTTTCTGAACAGTCAGTTTTGGCTTCATTATTCCTTTTGAAGAGAAAACAACCAGTGGCCGTTAATCAGAACATGTCTATCTTCATGGCTATACTAGGGCCAAATTAAATAAGCTGTTGGATGCCTGAGATCAGATCTCCCCTTTATTTAAATTTTTATTAATAGCAGTCACAGGGACCCATAAAAGGAACTGGGACTGTAGGGTTGGGGAAGAGTAAGAGTTAACCACTACACCAAACTGGCGTGAGGACCCAGGCAAGTTAAAACAAGCTGCTTCATTGAACAAAGTGCCTAAGCACCAAACAGGTAGGGCCACAAAAACACTTGTGAGCAACTTTAATGGGGATATGTTCTCAAAAAACAGGGCAAGATTAACACATAAAGGAGCCAGCAAGAAAAAAACAAAATTTTCTAGGCAGCCGCCATGTGGTTCCTACTCTACCTGGCTCTTCTAGGGTCCAACCCACCCCTCCTTGGGGGAGGGATCCTCTCCTGCTGGTAGCAGCTTCTCTGCCACTCACCTCCTGGAAGAAGGACACTTTCCCTCTTCAGCAGGGTTGCCGGGTCCCCCCTGTCCACCAGTGGGGGAATAGTGTTTGTCAGCTCCAGGTTGGGAAACTCCTGGAGATTTGGGAATGGAGACTGGGAGGACAGGAATCTCAGCGGGGTACAATGCCACAGAGTCCACCCTTCAAAGCACCCATTTTCTCCAGGGGAACTGAACTCTGTAGTTTGGAGATGAGCTGGAATGCTGGAGGATCCCCAAGTCCCACCCGGAGGTTGGCATTCCTACTCTTCAGTGGGGCCCTACATGATTTCTCTCATGGCCCAGCCTCCTGGTGAGGACTGGCCTTCCTTTGGCCTCCAATTTCACCAGGCCCTATCCTAGGCCTGGCCTCCTGGAGGGCATCTAGGACATGTAGACCCATAGGGAAGATCTTAGCAAGGTCCCCAGCAGAGGCTACAGTCAGTACCACAGCCCACTCTGCCAATCAGCATTGGACCGAGGAGAAGGTAGGTAGTGTATGAGTTGTAGCACAGGGACCCAAATTAACGACAAGAGGTATCCCATAGTTATTTGACCACGGGCATTCTTTTACCATGAACATCTTCTGCAGTTCAGTTATTACACTTTTCCAACAATGAGCATGATGGAGAAAGAGTATGATCCCGAGGATAGCTCCTGCTTCTTCTGTTTGTGATAGAGATCAGGTCAGATGAAAGATATTTTAACAGGCCCTTGTAAATGATCCTTCAAAAGACCACATCTCTTTCTCATAAATGTGGATCACTGGCATAATTTCAGAGGCTGGGTAGGCAAGGAGTTTTGTTCACTTTCACATTTGATAAACAGAGACAGCATTTTTTTAAAAAAAAAAACATATGTTGTACAAGTCAATGCTGCAGAAGTCAGATATTTCTGCGGTTTTCCAAGGCAGTTAACGCTGAGCAAGGTCTTTGCACGGGGGCACCGATTAAATGGGCAAATCTTCCATGCTGTGGCCAGCAGATGTCACCTGCCTAGCCTAGATAGTTTATCTTCAACTCATTATTCTTGGGATACTCTAATTAATCTCCTTTAACTGTTCCTTGATGACACTGTTTCTTGATCACAGTTATCGTTAATCAAGGAATTTCACATGCTAGGACTGGATCCTATGAAACACAAATGGAACAAGTTAACAGAATGGGTTTCTCCCTTTTTCTCTGCAGCTTTCTGCCCCTTTCTGAGTGTTGGAGACCCTCAATGGCAATGGGATACGCCATGGGGGGAGACAGTCTGCAACAAGAAGAATAACACTGGAGGAAACCTCTTCTCGCCAAATATACATGCTTTAAAGGGGGAGTTAACTGCATCGAACTCTGTTATTAAGGGCCCCCATGACCTTCAGAGGCAGCTCGTGGGGGGTGTTGCAGGGAGAAGGGGGTAGAGATCTGTTCTGTGAATTTATTTCATCTATGGTTTACAGGATCCAGGAGGATACAATAACTACTGTTGTGTAACAATTTATGACAAAACTGCTAATGTTTAAAAGCAGTTTTTGGACGGATGGAATACATAGTAGTGATACAAGGTCAAAAGTGGATGCTGGAAGTGATGAGAAAGGGGAGCCACAGAAGAGGGTTAAGTGGGAAAGATATGATCAAATTGATGGAAAGTGCAAGAACACAGATAATTGGTTTCAGAACCGGAGGAAGAAAGCTTTTGTGGCGAATGCTAGGGGTACTGAGACACTAAAGCCTACAGTTAAGTATGGGGATCTGGGAAAGAAAGAAAGAGAAGCCATTGTCATCCTAAAGCACCAAGCTTGGGAAAGGACAGAGTCAATATTGTTGTTGTTGGCAGTGGTGGGGGCGGGGGAAGAAGTAAGTTAGAAACAGGAGTAAAATATCTCCAACCTAATCATAGGAAAGCAGTAAGAGCACATCTGTGAAGGAAACAGCTGGAAGAAGGGATAGTGAGAAATAGAAAATAACTAGAAGAAAGATATATGGCAGATGGTCACATGCAACACATTATAGCCTAAAGAACAGATAATGAAGCTAAGTGGAAGATACCAAAGGGGCAGAGAACCACAGAGGCCCTTTCTGCTCTGACAGCTTGCTCCGGAGAATCCGAGGAGTCAGGCCTTAAGGGTTGACTTTGCACTTGCACACATTCCCTCTGCACTGTTTTCTCCCCCTCCAGTTTATTTGTGTATTCTGTATGCATTCTACATCTACAACCAAAACCTGCATTTTCATCTAACTGGCTGCCAACAGCTCCCTCCCTCCGTGATGCTGCAAAAAGAAAGGGAAGGGAGGGGGAAATCCAGGCCCACACATGCAAGACTGACACATTTGGGAGCAGGGAACCCTTTAGTCCTTTATATTTACTGATTCCTTCTTATGCTCTCTGTGGCTTTTTTAAACGTTTGCCTGAGCGGGAGGACATGTCCTCTTTTGTCTTTGGAGAAGGAGGGAAAGAAAACAGAACAGGGAGGGAGCGTCAACCTAAAGAGAGAGAGGCGGAAACAGGGGAGGGCAGTGGGCAGCACTTAAAATACCCACAGAAACAAAGGGTTTAGCGATTTGAAAGTGGATGAGAACAAAGAATCGCAGCAAAAGGAGTTTTGGTGGCTGCGGGGGGCAAAAGTGTGCTGGAAGCGGTCTGAATGCAGATTTATGTAAAACCAATGCAGAAACAAGAGAAAGCCCCGACACAAAGTGGAAGTGAAAGCGGGAGAGAATGCAGAACAGAAGAATAAGATGCGCTATGAAACGGAGGCAAAACACAGGTGCAGAAAGGGCCAGAATTGCCAACAGTGAAAATACAGAAGGAAAACATCAAGGGGGAAAAACAGGTTCTATAACTACAAACAGAAAATAGAGTGATCAGTCACAGATCTGTAAGCAGGTGTGAAAGGAACTGAAATTACTAACTGGTATAGCCTCGGTGTGGGGGAGATGAGGGGTACCACTTTGATCCCTTCCTTACCAGTACCATATGCCGCCCTGTGCCAGATTACTTTCACTACTGTTGCTAAACAAGGGTATTATTTTAGGATCCAGACACTTCTTAGCTAGAAAATAAGCAGTGATGAAGAAATGCCTACCTTTTACTCGAAGAAGTAAAACATTGCTGGTCTTTGTTTTCCCGTTAACATTAACCTCACAGTAATATTCTCCAGAATGAGAAAATCTGGCTGGGTAGATTCTATGCAACACCCATTCTTGCTCTGATGTGATACTGACCAGAAGATCATCATATCTGGAAATTTTAAATGTATAATTCGGCACAAAATTGCCACTTTTGACTGTTTCCACTGAACAGTTGAGAGTTACTAACTCGCCATTCTGTACTTCTTTAGATGGACTGGCGCTGAGTACAGGTTCATTTAAGGTGACCACTGGAAAAGATGAAAAATGTTAGTGAGAGGCGCTTTCAGTTATAATCGAAGAAAGGGCAAATTGTTCAACAAATGGCTGTTTAATATCCAAAAGCTATTCATATAATTGCTTGGGCTGTGTCGGCCAATTAAAGAAATCTAATTGTAGTGGGCTGCAATCCTGTTCCATTATAAAGCTGCCCTACTGGGCTGTTCATTCTACTACAGTTCTCAGCTGTTTTTAAAAATGCCCTCTTGAACATTACCATTTTGCATATTGTGTGGAATGAGAGAAGTTCCAGCTTTCTGGACCTCCTCCGGTAGGCTGTTTCACAATGTGGGAGTCACCACTGAGAATGCTTGGGAATGGGCAGCTGCTGATCTTACCCATGGGCAGGGTAGCACCTTTAGAAAGCTTTGTTCAGATGAGTAAAACCATCACAGGCTCCGGTCACACGAATGGTTTTGGGCCGGGAGAGGGATGGATCGGGGGCGCAGCAAACGGGCGCGATCCCACCGCAACATCTGGGAAGCGTTGCGCACCAGTCCCCGATCCGGCCCTTCCGCCTGAAAAGCCGCAGCAAAAATACACCACCTACCAAAGTGGACCTTCCAGCATAGCTGCATCAAGCCTGGCCATGGGATCGCCGGCGCGTCCTTCTGCCGGTGCATCCCAGGGTCCTGGCTGAACTGTGCATGCTCACACATGCGCAGTTCAGCAGCCTCCCTTTCCCCACTGTGGCTTCCCCCGGCATCTGATCATGCCGGGGAGGGAATGCGCCGCGGCTCAGGGGATCAATGTGATCCCGCCGCCGCGTGTTTCTTTTGGTGCGGTTTTAAAAAGCTGCACTTTGCCCGTACCTTCCCCCTCCCGTGTGGCAGGGACCACAGTGGAACATAGGGGAGAGGCAGTCCTGCAGGTATGTAAGTCCAAGGCTATTTGGGGCTTTGCTGATGATAACCAGAACCTTGAACTGGTGAACTGGACTTGTTAACTTACCGGTAACCAATGGAGTATCCGCCGAATAGGAGTGACTTATATGTTTCACCTGATGCTCAGCTGTAACTGGACTGTGGTGTTCTGCATCAACTGGAGTTTCCAAGTGGTCTTTCAGGGCAAACCCATGCAGAGTGCCTTTTAGCAGTACAGCCTCAGGACAGCCACATCTAAGTTGGCGCCTGCCATTGTGTATTTAAATACTTGCTATCTGATTCATTACTGTGATTAATCTCCACTCAGCATATAAAACAAAATGTTAGAATAAAACAAAAATCTAGTGACGTCTTAAAGACTAACAACATTCATTTTGACAGACTAAGATGGCTACCCCTTTGCAATCATCGCAAGAGTTCTAGGAACCAGAGATTTCTGGGAGCAGACAATCACTACAGGTAGCCAACTGTGGCATGGCTTGAAGTCACTGCTAGCAGTTTGGAGGCAAATCACAGGGAGCACGCAGTGGAAAGAAACAGAACTGAAAGACGGTGTCATGTGAAATCATCTTCATACGTAAGGAATTGCACAGCTGAAGAGCAATAGCCCCTCCAGCTCAGTATTCTATTAAATAACAGAAACATTAGTGGTACCAATAAATACCAAGCCATACAATCATTCACATAATAAAAATAACAACTGTGTCCTATCAAGTCATATCTAGCACATGGCCACCCCAGGACCATGCGGTTGTCAAGGCAAGGGAGAAAGAAAGGTGGTTTGCCGCTGCCCTCCTCTGCATAGCAACCCCAGTCTTCCTTGGTGGTCTCCCATCCAAGTACTAACCGTCGCTGACCCTGCTTAGCCTCCAACTGGTGACAAGATTAGGCTTAGGCTGGGCTATTATTCACATAGTTTGATGCAATCTGTTCTGATTTCCCAGCTCTATTTCTTGAGCTCCTATATCTAAAAGTGCTAGTGCTCAAACCCTATTAGGCTTGTCAAGTTCCCCCGGGGGGCAGGGAAACCCCCGCCCCAGAGGCCCGTTCCCCGCTGCCGGTGGATCGGGCCCTGGGGGGAACCCCACCCCCAAAGCACAGGACGTGCCCGGCATCAGCACGTCACCTGGAGGTGACATAGCCACTCCGGGCACGCCGGGGGCGGGGCCGCAGTGATCCGAGGGAAAATATGTTTTTCCCTCGGATGACCGCAGCCCTGCCCCCGGCGTGCCCGCATCGCTTCTGGGTGACATGCTCGTGGCGCACGGGCGCTCCTGGAGGAAGCCAGGACTTGGCAACCCTAAACCCTATGCCTCAGTGAGTGGTCTGAAGGCACATAATTCATTTCTGATGTTAAGTACAGGGCTTTTTTTTTCTGGGGGAACGTGCCGGAACAGAGTTCCGGAATCTCCCTCTCTCTCTCTCTCTTTCAAAACTTTTTATTGAATATAAAGTCAACAAGCAATGATGAAACATTAAAGTAACAAATAAAGTGATGACAACGCAGTAACAAGATGTATATAGCATGAAATACAGGAGACATTACTGATCTCTTTGACAACATTCTTTGTAAAAGGTTTAAAAGTTCATGAGTTCTCAGTATACAGATTGAAAACGTCATTTCCCTCTTGAGAGTTCCAGTACCTCTTTTTCTTAAAACAAACAAAACAAACCCTGGTTAAGTAGATCTGGATCTGGGAACTGTCTACATGCTACTCTGGGCTGCTTGAAAAGAAGCAGGATGTCAATGTAATGAGGAATTCTTACACTGGCAAGGGGCTGTGGCACAAGGACGAGAACGTTTAGAAGGCCGCTGGTTTAATCCCGTGCCATCTGCAGTTAACTGACCACAGGCAGCAGGTGTTGAGAAAGGCCTTTGTTTCCCAGAGACCCTGGAGGGACTCCGCTAGTAAAAGCTGGCCTGACTGAGCTAGGTGCACCAGTGGTCTGACTTATACCAAGACTGGCTCATATATTCAATTTTTTCAAAATCCAATTCTCCTACTTTAAATGTGCGGTGCTTGGACTCTACCATTTGGCTTGACTTCAACTGATCATGATTCCTCTAAACTCCTGGATTTTGGATTGGCCATTCATGGCTCTCAAACACAGCACAGAAAGACCAATAAGAGCCAGCCTAGACAGGGGTAGACTGAGAAGTAAGGTTGCCAAACTCCAGGTGGGGCCTGGAGTTCTCCCAGAATCGCATCTTACTCCAGGCTATAGAGGTCAGTTCCCTTGGAGGAAACAGCTATTTTGGGGACTGGAATGAGAGACCATGGAGTGGAATGACAGCCCCAGGGTGTAGCAGGAGTGTTCTGGAACTGGAATGACGGGCTTCACCCCCAAGTCTCTAGGAATTTACCAGCATGGAGTTGGCAACCATACTGGATAGTCAAAAACACCCTGGAAAAAGGCCTCCAACCCTTCCCCTTCCCATGATGGAGACCTGGATGGAGAAAATGGAGGCTCTCTTGTCAGTCACTCTGGTATAGGCTTGCCGACTCCCCCGTTAGGGCGAGGGTCCCCAGATCGGAGATCCCCCCTCCCCCGCTTTTTAAGAATTGGCCGGCGGGGGTCGCTCTAGCAGCAGCCATAGAGACGAAGGCTAGAGTGCCACAGGTCTCTGACTGTCGGTGGCACGTCTGCCTTCAAAGAGTGTAGTCCGCTACTCGCCTCGCCTCCTTAGCACCGCCCACTCCCAGCATCCCTCCTTTGGCGGGCAATCTGCTTGAAGTGACATCACTTGACCTTTGACCTGGACGTGGCATCACAGGATGCGACATCACAAAAGTGATGTCACATCCTTTCTCCTGGCTCCACCCCCAAAGTCTCCTGGCTCCACCCCCAAAGTCCTCAGATATTTCTTGGCAACCCTACCCTGGTATCTGCCCAAAGAAGAGTCAAGCCCAAGGGTTTCCACCCCATCTTCCACCGGAAATACTTTAGTAGGAGTCATACCAGCCACAGCCAATGAGGCTAGTCAAGCAAGTACCAGCTGTCAGCAGCAGTGCCTCAGCAAAACCAGGTGGAGTATCTGTTGCTTCCCACCTGGCTCCCTCAGCTCATCATTGCTTAATAGTCCCCAATTGGGAGAAGGCCCACCAAGCAGGAGTGATCACCAGTGGGGCTGGTCAGGCAAGAATGAGCTGAGAAAGGCAGACAAGAAGCAGCAGTCACAGCTACACAGTGTTTGGCTTCATTGCAGCAGTGCTTCTACCGGCTTATCATTGCCTGGCCTGTTCCACTGTGTCCTGGGTTTGCCAATCTACAGGTGTCACCTCGGGATCTATTACAGTTGATCTCCAGGTGACCAAATGTATTGCCCTGGAGAAAATGACTGCTCTGGAGGGTGGTCTCTATGGCATTCTGCCCTGCTAAGGTCCCTCCCCTCCCCAAACCCCACCCACCCCAAATCCACCCCCCAAATCTCCAGGTATTTCAAAACCCAAAGCTGGCAACCCTACTGTGTCCCCTGGACTGGGTGGGCAGTCCAGAAGATGTAGTCCTCCTAGGCTACCAGCTGACTGGCAAGTTTTGCTGGTGGCAATAATAGGCAGTCAGCTCTTGAGCCTGTATGTGATGTTGGGGTATGTTTTTCTATAGAAGATTAATGTGACTATCCCTCTGGAATTCACTGCAAGGGGATGTGGTAATGGCCATGAGCATAGATGTCTTTTGATGCAATGAACATGAAATTGAGCAAACTCCGGAGGACAACGGAAGACAGGAGGGCCTGGCGTGATGTGGTCCATCGGGTCACAAAGAGTCAGACTCGACTGTGTGACTGAACAACAACAACATAGACACCTTTAAAAGGAGATGAGATAGATTCATGGAGGACAGGTCCATTGATGGTTCACCACCATGGTGACTAGAGGAAACCTCCATAGAGACAGCAAAACCTCTGAATACCAGTGCTGGAGGCAACACCTTGGGAAGGCCTAGACCTCTGTGCCCTGTGATTGGATATTCTGGGCTAATGGTTGGCCATTGTGTGAAACAGATGGACCACTGGTCTGTTTAAGAAAGGCTCTTCTTCATTTTATACCTTTAAGACTCATACTGAAAGGAAAATTCTCCCTCCAAAGAGCCAATGTAAAATTTGAGTGCAGTTTCTAATTTCAGCTCATCTGTAACTGATATTGCTGCAGGGTTGTTGTTTTTTTAATTCAGGCCAATGAAGTTTGAGTTACTTAGAGTGATGATGAACATGGATCTCTGTTGATCTTGTATAGGTGAATTACAGCTCTGTGTAGCCCTAATTCATGAAGCAAAGGATGGGGAACTGGATGTCATTTTCTTACCAGCTAGGTTTTAATACCAGAAGAAGAGGAGGAGGAGGAGATTGGATTTATACCCCACCCTTCACTACCTGAAGGAGGTCGAATCTGCATTCACATTTTTAAATTAGTTTCATGCTGCTGTGACGCCGTCTTTCTCTATGCTTTTTTGAATGTTTGGAGAAGATTCTTTTAAAGAAGTGCAGAGGTGCAATGACAGTGGAGCTGCCCCAAAGGACGATAAACATATGTGGACGTGTAAAGGTATGTTAGCACTCTTGAGGTGTGAAAACTACACCAAATGTAGACAGCTTTTTTTGAAGACGGAGTCAAAAGGCTGGGACACCAGTGAGAAAGACAAATGCAAATTCAGCCAGAAGGAGGGGAAATTGATATAAGAGAGGACAAAGCTCTCTTATAGGGGTAGGAGAGGGAGTGTCATTGGATGCAAGTTGCATTCCCTCTGCAGCAATATGACTTCCCTGAGCCCACAGAGAGGGCAAGACATAAAATGCAGATTCAGCCATAGTCTCAGAGTGGCTTATGATCCCTTTCCCTTCCCCTCCCCACAACAGACACCCTGTGAAGTAGGTGGGGCTGAGAGAGCTCTCTGGAGAACTGCCCTTGAGAGAACAACTCTGAAAGAATTTATGACTGACCCACGGTCACACCAGCAGCTGCATGTGGAGGAGTGGGGAATCAAACTCATTTCTCACAGATTAGAGTCTGCGTTCTTAACCACTACACCACCATCTAAATACATCTTAACCACTACACCAAACTTACAAGAAGTAAGCTCAACATGAAGAAAAGTACTTGGAGGGAGAAGAGACAGGGAGGTAAGTGGCCACTCCAGGGAGGATTCAGATCTTACCTCAAGCCTTTTTTGCTTTGAAAACCAAACTCTTTCCCCTTTCTTTCCCCTTATGCTTAACATGCCGTTCAGACAAACCCAAGTTTTAAACAAACAGGTCTGCTGCCAGCCACGTTTCTTGACATTTAGGGTGAGAACTTTTGTATTCTGCAATTATTTTAAAAGTCTTTAATCCTTTCCAAATGCAGTTGCTGGGGATGCTGTTCTGATAGGGAGACTGGGCTTTTAAACCATTTTTTCCTGTGCCATTTTCCTGCGGAAAAATAGCCAGCCCAGGAAACTTTGACACAGGCAGAAGGGAAAAAAAGGATTAGTTTAAAAAAAACACAGACTGAGTTACAATTGTAACACAAATGTTTTCCCTTGGTTAACATAGCAACGTGCTACTTTTGGATTAATCAATATGAAAAATGGCCTCCAAAGGATCTGAACTATGTTCTGCTGCTATACACAATCAATAAGTGCTAATATAATCTGTAACCTGCCCATGATGCAAAGCCTGCCGGCAACAGTTTTTATAGTTTGCCACTCCTATCCTGCTTTAGAGTTAAGCCAAAGAGCTTTAAAGAATTTTCTTATTTGTGTATTGTAATTTAGTAGCCCAATCTATAATTCATTTAACATGGAGAGTTTTTAAGTTTAATATACTTTAGTCACACTGAAAGCAAAACAAGGCTATCGGTATACATCTAAATACTTCAGAGAGCAGTCCTAAACAGATTTATACAGAAACAGATCCCATTTTATTCAGTGGGATTTACTCCCAGGAAAGCATTCTTAGGATTGCAGCCTTAGTTTATGTGAATTATGATTCAAGCTGAATATTACATTGGCTATTTTGGATTTAAATATGGAACCAAAATCACCAGATGTAATATTCTAATGAGAAGAAAGAAGAATATATATTTTATAGAAATACAGTCAAAATTCTTCTCTTGGTTGTCTGCATGCAAATCTAGGAGAGACCAATGTTTTTCTGTTTAGCCCCATTTGCTCTGGAAATTTTCAGATCTCATAAATGTAATTTTTAAAAATAACTCACCATTGTCTTGAGCTTTCAGTTTGCAACCTGGAAAAGCAAAGTGTACATCATTAAAGGTGTCAATACAAGGACAAATTTTGTTATTTTTTTAAAAAATTGAGATGATCACTCTGGAACTTACAGTGTAAGAGGATCAAGACCAATACACAATACATCTCGTCATGGGAGAGCAGATATGAAACTCCAGAATAAAGGTATTCATTAGTTCCACTTTCACCCTTCTTTAAGGACCTTCAATCATAAAGAACATCCAGTTCTGTTTTTTCCAAGTGAGTTAGGCACAGCAACCGATGGAAGTCGTGGAAGCCAGAACTGGTATGTTTTTCCAGGACCCTAGTACAAGCTGCCTAGATACTGGTCAAGTAATCATTCCCATTACTGGAAACTGGAAGCGGCAAACAATAAAGATCTATCTGCTGCAAACAGGCAAATTGCCGCTCAGGAAGTGACGGGTCTTTCCTGAGAGGGTCAGTGGACGCATTTGCTTTGTTCAGTTTCTTAAGGCATATCAAAAACAAGAAGTACCAGTGACTATTTTTTTCCGGAGGCTGTGGTCATTATTTAAGAAAGTTAACCTTCAAACTGTTGAAAAACTAATTATGTTCATTCTTTGATTGCTATGAATTTCCAAAAGAAAAACACATCGTTGTTCATACTGCTTCCCCACAGTTTGGATGCTTTGTGTTGTCAATTGTTGCAGGAAACTGGGCGAGACTTCACTAGGAGTCTAACAGTGCAATCCTAAATGAAGGTATACCCTTCTAAGGCTACTTCTAAGTCCCTTCTAAGTCAGTGGGCTTAAGCAGAAAGTAACTCTATTCAGGGCTGCACTGTAAAGAGACCTTTTTCTCAGACATTTTTAAGCATACTAAGCAGGGTATGTACATAGGCAAGAGGGAACCTTTTTAATGTTAATACATAGAAATACAGCTGTATTATTTGAATTATACAATGTATGTTGACTCCAACAGACTTAGAAGGGTGAAACTCTGTTTAGGATTGCAAAGTTAAGAGCTGTACTGTTTTCCTCAGGCAGCTGTTTCCAATTGAGCATTGGTGATCTAACACAGGAGGTCCCCAGCCTTTTCTAGTCTGCAGGCCCCTGTAGAATTCTGATACAGGGTGGTAGAGAAAGACCACAAAATGGCTGCCACAGGAGGCAGAGCCAAGCACAACATGTCAGGGAGCGCAGTCCTGTATGGCAGTCACGCTTCAACATTTCAAGCATGTGCTCTGCTTAGTAGGAACATTTTTTTTAAAGAAATGAACATATTGTTACAAATGTTTTCTTGCATGCACACTACTTATCAGAAGCCCTGTTGGGCAAAAAAACCACCCAATGTTTAGAACACTTCCTAGGTGCCAGGAAAGGTATCAGTGGGCATTGTGCCCATGGGCATCACTTTGGGGATTCCTGATCTAACACATAGAAGCAGGGTTGTGCAAACAGAACCTACACCTGTCCATGCCCTGTCCTTAGGGTTGCCAGGCTCCAGGTGGGGCCTGGGGATCTCCTGCTTTTACAATTGATCTCCAGCTGACAGAGATCTGCTCCCCTGGAGAAAATGGCTGCATTAAAGGGTGGACTTTATGACATTGTACCATGCTGAGGCCCCTCCCCTCCCCAAACCCCACCCTCTCCTGGAACCACCCCCAAAGTCTCCGGGTATTTTCCAATCCAGACCTGGCAACCGTACCTGTCCTTGACTTTGATCTAGGCCAGTGCCCACCTGGAAAGCTCCCGTGGAATATTTTTATTTTAGCATGGATTCCAATGAATGGAAATAAAGACCAAAATTTTGCTTTGTATCTCAGTCCACAAGAAGGGTTAGCAGGGTTTGGAAAATTCTAGTATCTTCTGTGAAATCCTAGTATCTTTTGTCTGCTCTCTCCCACACTCAGCACTGATCAAGGCATGTTTACTTTAGCTGAAGTCATTTTTTCCACAGGCTCTGCTAACAGGGTCTGTCCACTATTATCTATTCCAAGCCAGTTTGTGAAGGCTGACTGGGTACAACATATTTCAAACCAGCCCTCTTCAGATCCATGATGTCCCCTGTTTTAAAGAAATAAGAACAGCATGACAGAAAGACAATGGACGGAAGGGAAAAAAGAGGAGGGTCAGATCAAAATCTGAAGAACAAGGGAAGCAGTCAGGTTTGTTTTACAAAGTTCTCTGGGGAAGCAGCAATCACACAGGAGATATGCATTATATTCTGTGAGGTTTGTTCTGGTAAGAAGGAACAATATCCAGCGGCACCCCAAATATACGCATAAAAAGAAGAATCTAGTGACATCCTCAGTTTTGTGACAATGAAGTTCACTTACAATGTACTATGTACTTAAAGCTGCAATGTACATCAAGCCTTGGCAGCATAAATCAAGGAAGTCTGATAAGATGTGGTTTTGTTCTCAAAGCTTTCTGTGTTTACATAAAGTCTCTTTTGTTTCTAACAAACGCAAGGGGAAGTGTTCTTCCTAAGCCTATATAACTTAAGGTGTAATTTGCGCTACAGTCTATTACCCACATTTTGATGGCATTTTGCAACAGGAAACAGGAAGGAAATATTCCGGGGAACAAGCTTCAACATGGATTCTAGTCACCATTTTACAAGGGGGGAAAATAACACAGTAGCTATAGTAATAAATGACCAGGAAGTACCTTGCAGGCTTGTTAGCATGATGTTTATGTTCTTTATCCTGATGTTCTTTAAATATACTTACTGCACCACTTTGAAAGACTGGCCTGCTGCCAACCCAGTTCTCCAGAGTCAAACAGAAGAAAGGGTGAAAGCCAAGACCCTGGGGCAGAGCAGGCTTCATGACAGACGGCCAACATTCTATGCGTCTTGGGCAACCTTGAACTGAAGAGGAATATATCCGTAATTGTTCTGAATGCATGTAGATTTGCACCTGTAAAATTTCCACTGGTCTTTCAGGAAAACACAGAGACAAACTGGATGTAATGACATACACAATTCTGACCCGTGGAAACAGTTGCCTGCTCAAGGTTGGGAAATGCCTGGAGATTTTGGGGTTGGAGCCTGGAGAGGTCGAGGTTTGGGAAGGGGAGGGGAGGGACCTCAGCAGGGTGTACTGCCATAGAGTCCTTCCTCCAAAGCAGCCATTTTCTCCAGTGACAGACGGCCAACATTCTATGCGTCTTAGGCAACATTCTATGCGTCTTGGGCAAGTGATCAGCTCATATTTATTAGTGAAATTCAGCTCTACTAGAGACAAACTAGCCAGGTTCGAACCCTGCTTTTATCCATGCAGCATACAACACCCGACACACACCTCACTCCCGTGATTGGCTATTTACAGTGTAAGAGTCCATCATAGGTCAACCTTAGGATCCGGGCAAACCTAGTGGTCTGCACCAGGATCCGAGTCGGCTATTGTTCTAAATCCTGAAGGTGCGCTAGACCGCATGGCTTCCTTAGCACTATGTGTCCAGACATGTCTGTATCAATAATAACACCCCTTCCCCCGTGGTTTGGAACCCTTAGCTGACAGTCTTGGAGGTAGGTTGGCCTGCGCGTTCTCTGGTCGAACGGTGGAGTTCAGTTGGAGGTGTGGCGGATTCTAATGCGGTGGCTGGAGTGGGCTCACCCTTTGAGTCCGGAGGGGATGGCGGTGCTGGGCCGTCTGTGTTTCCTTCTGTGGTGACTGGCATTGGCGACCCAACTGATCTCTCTGCTGGTGCATCCTGTTGGGCACTGCTCATTGGCATGGGCCTCGCACGCTCTGGTTCCTTGGGGCTTGGCAGGTCATCATTGCTGTCCTCCAGTGTGGCTGTTGCGGGTTCTGCAGGAAGAAGGTGGCCATGGAGCTGGTCGATGTGCCGGCGTACCCTTTGTCCATCTTCTGTGGACACCTCATAGAATACTGGCCCAGTCACTCTGACCACTCTGGCCAGGATCCACACCGGCCCCCTTGCGAAATTGTGAGCATACACTGGGTTGCCAGGGAAGAATCCTTGGGGGGGGCCTTGGCTCTCTTAGCCCACACTGTGCTCCAGGGCCTGGTCGGGGTGCAGCTTGTCCAGGCGGGTAGCTAGCCGCCTTCCCATTAGAAGTTCCACAGGGCTGCGACCTGTGGTGGTGTGTGGGGTTATCTGGTTGTTGAAAAGGAAGGTTGCCAGCTGGTGGTCCCACTCACCCTGTACGATTCTGCGGAGGGCCTCCTTGGTTGTCCTCACCATTCTCTCGGCCTGGATATTGGTTGCAGGGTGGAAGGGAGCCAAGCAGATGTGTCGAATAGCATAGTACTTTACAAATTCTTGGAATTCTGCTGATGTGAAGGCTGTCCAGTTGTCCGTCATGAGTGAGTTGGGGATGCCATGTGTACTGAAGATTCGCCACATAGCGTGGATGGCGGCTTGGGATGATGTAGATGCAACTGGTACCACCTCTAGCCACTTGGTGAATGAATCTACTAAGTTGAAGAACAGCTGGCCCTGGAAGGGACCTGCAAAATCCAGGTGTAGCCAAGCCCAGGGTCTCTAGAAGGATTCCCACTGCTGTGCTGGGGCCCGGGGAGGCTCTGGTCGGGATTCCTGGCACGTCTGGCAATGTTTGACAGAGTTCTTGATCTCACTGTCCATGCCAGGCCACAAAATATAGCTGCGGGCCGGGGCCTTCATCCGCACAATCCCCAGGTGCATTTCATGGAGGGCCGTGAGGACTCGCTGCTGTAGTGGCGTGGGAACTATTACCCAACTTCTCCATAATAGGCAGCCCTTGTGGGCTGATAGCTCGTCCTGGCGAGAGGAGAATGCTGTGAACTCCGGACCCACCCAACTCGTGGAACACCCCCTCCCCACCCAGTCCAGAACACAGGACAGCATGCGGTCTCGAGCGATGTGGCGGGACACATCAGTTACCTGAAGGGGCCTGTCCAGCTGGTCCTCAAGGAGCAGGATCTGGTGCACGGGCACCGGGTCTGAGTCACCTGAAGGCAGCAGCAAGAGGCTGAGGACGTATGTGTGGCCCATCGCTTTTCCGGGTCAGTGTAACAGCACATACGGGTACCCTGCGAGGAAGTTGGTTTGTGATCAGTGACGATGGTGAAGGGCTGGCTGTACAGGTAGTTGTGGAACTTCTTGACCCCCACCACGATTGCCAATGTCTCCTTGTCAATTTGAGCGTAGTTGCACTCAGCCACCAGGACCTCACGGCTGTCGGGCAGCTGGTGGCTTAGGATGGCACTGACCCCGTATGGCAAAGCGTCACAGGCGAAGGCCACGGGAAGCGCTTCATCGAAGTGTACCAGGATTGCGTTCGATGTCAGCAGGACCTTGACAGCCTGGAATGCAGTGGCTTGCTTTGGGCCCCAGACCCACTTGGCCTGTTTGTCGAGT